TCATCGCCTAGCGCTCGACTGTGACCGCGCCGTCGACTTCGCTCCTTCGCTGACCCTTGGTGTAAAGGTTGATTTTTTTCTCGAGCTTCAGGGCCAGGAACCGCTGCCACGCGTCGTCAACTACCTCGGTGCACGACTTAAGCCTCGGTGGCTATTTCCGGCGGAATTTACCTCAACCGTTTGAACAGGCAGTATGGAACAACTTCATCGGTTGCTGCTGCTCGTCATCGTCTCGACGAACACCCTCTGCTTCACCCATGCAGGTAACGCCACTGTTGCTCCATTTTACTCACCTCACCCGGTAGCTGACACGATCTCACGCGTCCCCTTCTGCGAACCTAGCATCTAAACTGTTTTCTTGAATATGTTTCCTTCTAAACAGATATCCGAACACCGAAAAGCCTGAGGTGCTCAGACGAGCATGGATATGCACTCGTTACGTGCATAGATGCGGCACCGTCTGCCTCGGTTATATTCATTACAGCTACTACCACGCGGACACATTCATTTTCCTGCTTTCTTATCACAATCAACGATATTTAAAAAAAAACCACCGCCAGTGAGACTTACCTTGTGAAGAACTTTTGCGGAAAACCAAGCAGTCCAATCGATACCACAATTCAACCGGCAAACAATTTGGCCTTCCTCTTACAGACATAAGTAAGCTTCTTGCCATCTTCGTCTCTGCTCTGTCCGTGTACGTGTCCATGACCTACGATCGAGTTTTTCGCTCTCGATTGGACAACGGTGAAGAATAACTCGCCTGCCATGACTCCTGCAAATGACTGCTATACCTGAAACCAGTTGAGTTTTTTTCCAACGGCCACCATTCTTGGAACTGGTCTGTCTGTCATCCACTTGCTGAGTGTATGTTGTCTTATCTGCGGCAAGTGATCTACAAGATAGCGCTCGTCTGCATAGCCACAGATCTATGCAAATAGATCAAGTTATGCCTAGATGTGAAATTAACAATCGGTTCGTGCTGTCTTGTGATTCATGAATGGCCAACTTTCCGGTCAATACACCGGTGTCCCGAAATGCTACATACCGATGTATACTTAACGTGTTGCTTTTCTTCTGTCATACCGCTGGGAGTAAGGTGTTGGTGATATTACATTATCGACTTGATAGAGTGACGATCTTGAATACGCGCATTTTTATGTGACCGGTGACAGTTAGTTGTTTGATGCAGTTTTTGCTCAGATGGAAAAATTAGATCATTAAACAACCTCAATATATGTCTCTCAAACAACGAGAGATTTGGACAGTGCGTAAAGCAGATTGCCCCCTGAAACTAGACATTCAATGCCCACTGTTTACGAATGAAAGATACAATACGGCGGTCAAACCAGGAGGAAGAATGAGAGATCCTTGAAAAGACAATGACGCATAAATAGTTATAAGTTATACGAAGTAGTGACGAGAACGACACGCGTTGCATATAATGACAGCAAGAACGGTATTGCAAAGCCTTCAACCGCTAGTCGTTAGGTAATTTTTAATTATATAATTTAATAATCATACGCATTGTTACTCATGTCAATAATTTCTTCACGATCACTGCTTCGAATTGCCTGCATCAGAAAAACATTCCAGGTGTGTAATTTCAGTTCATTCTTAGTTGTGGAACTTTTTTGCTATAAGACAACGAGCACTTCATTGTAGAGAAGACTCTATTTCTCTAAACAGGAAATTTCCTTTATCTTATAAATCCGCCGTTTTATATGTTAATGTCAGAGTCGATGTTATGCTAATAAAGTTATATCGACGTTAATAAATTATATCGACTCTCTGAAGAGCATCAAAAAGGACACAAATACAACACAAAAAAAATTTTATTGAATGAAACATTATTATCTTCACTGACTCTGCGTTTCCATTCGTATCTTCGATGTTGTCCACTGAGTTCAGTTCATAAACAGTTGTCTTAAGGGGATCATGCAGGCAATGCTTCATTGCTCCATCGGTCTTTGGGTTGTCTGCTTTGTGAAATGGCTTCAATTGTTCATTTCAATTTTATGCCCGTTCAGATCAAGACCGCGCATTCAACATATCGAGTTGTTGGTTCTAAAACTCGGAAAACCGACATTACGGAGGCAGAAGTAATTAACCTTAGTTTTCAATCAATTGGGCCAAGGCTCATCAAAAAAAAGCAAAGAAGAAACGGTATCAGTTACACGTCTTCTTATGTTCTCTTCTACGTTACTTCTGCGATAGCTTTGAATAATTTTCAACTAAGAGTCCAAATTATAATTTAAACCAAAGCACACGTCTGTCTTTCATCTGGATGACGTCCAAAATGCTGAACTGCATGCTCTGGATGAATCAAGCTTTGATAGAGCCATGAGGGACAACTTCGAATCCTGTAAAATTCTGCCACCAGCGCAATTGTAATGGTAAACTAATCTAATCGAATTCACTGTACTCCGGAGAATCAGTCTGGGAGGGGGAGAGATACCTTGAGAAGCGAGCATAATGAAATATTCTGTATTTTACCACTGAAAGGAAGATCGATTCTGTTTCCTCAATACTATGTCAGAAATTGAGCAGCAGCCAAATTAAAACTGAAGGCAATTTAAATTCAACCTAAAACCCCAGAATTTTAACCCTCAAAAGCGCTGACCACGATTCGAGAAAAGCGAACAACAGTCATCCTCCTACCGGTTTTCTAAAACTGGTGAACATAAGTATCCCCGAACGCAAATAACGTTTTGGTGAAACCGAAGGTACAGCGATAGCCTCCTGCCTTTCACATTCCACCTGAAACCAACCTTCATATTAAGCATCAGCGAAGAGAGTGTGCCCGGACAAACACCAATCTGGCATCTTAGTCACTTGCCTAAATCCTCATAGAAGTAATTTCTCAGTCTGGAACAGATTGAATTTCTATGGCTAATTTCAATATATGAGCTTAACCGCAAAAAATGCCCCATAGCTGAAATCCTTAAAGCTTTGAAATGATTGAGAGATGTCCTTGAAAGAAGTCGGTAAATGAAAGCAATATCTGCTCCTTCAGTTAAGGTCACGCATAAAATCGGTTATAAATCAGTGTTTTCACCTGAATCATGATAAAAGTGAGTTAAATGAGGATAACTACCTAATATTGTCTGACGGCCCTCTAGTGCCGCGCGCTCTCCCCTTTCTGGTTCAACCCCTGATCAAGAAATCTTCCCTTTGGTTCATCGCAGCCTATTTGGAGGACCGACTCGACGCTGGTGGTGCAGCAGAACCCAGTTTGACATCTCTGGGTTGCTCCTTCAGGCCAGTCATATGACCCGTCCATCTGTCTCTGCGTTGTAGCAGGCAAAAATCACGTTTGGATTAATACTCAGCCGGTGGTCGAATTTGTGCGCTCGGAAGATAATCTCGAGAGAGAGAGAGAGAGAGAGAAAGAGAAAGAAAAACTCTGCATATTTTTCCCTCTGTCGTTCTATGCATGACCATGAATTTATTCTTCCCAACTTTGCTTGCAGACTAACATTCAGCACCCTAGATGATGGCCAGTAGGATGGTTGATTCGAACAACTTCTTCTTCGGCTCCCTGCTTGGGCAGCTGACAGCCAAATTAAGAATCATACCCCTCAAATTAAAAGAATACCTAGAATCAGCAAATAATTACGCCAATTTAGTTATGCTTAATTGCTGGCTTAAAGGAATTCGCTGTCAAAGAAGGGTTGCATTCTGTCAGCTGGATAAGTGGCAAATATTGTAGAAAACAAGGAAGCTGTTCAACCATGTACGGACTTGTTCATTCATAATCGGTAATTTCCATTTTTCAGCCTCTCAAAGCACATGCTTGGATGAACAGGCAGAAAAACCCCTAATGACTAACTTTCCTTTTGTACTAGGCTCCATGGAGTTTGATTTCATATAACCTTGGATCAGTTTCCAATTAATGGTTTCATACTGTCCAAAGGCTAAAGCTAGAGGCAGACTATATGCACCTCACGCTTGCTTATTTCGAAATGAATACGAACCTTGACCTTCAGTCTTTTCATCCGTCTAAATGGATCTATGACAATATTGCACTCTTCTAGGTAAACTTGCCTAACTTGAAAAGCACGATGAGATCTGCCATCCCTCATCTGTCATGACAGCACGTATACCCAGCCGTTTCAGAGTTTCTGATCAACTATCATGGCATCTTGTCATTGGATATGATCCGACGTTTACGTCGCTAGCCTCCTTCTGTGATACGAAAGACATATAAAGGTGCCTAATTCGGCACGGCAATTAAAAGTGAAACTATTTCCAACATATATGCAAATTTTATTTCCAAATTATTTTAAAACTTTGTCAACTCTGTTTCAATTTATGAACATATTAATTACCAGCTCGGCCATACGACTTATTATTTCTCCTACGCTCTGCAAGGTTTCTTACAATTTGCCAGAGATGCAGGTGCTGCGCTGTTATACTGACTTGACTTCCACACGACGAGATATTTACAAGTGATTCGATTTGGTCAACAGTGTCGTTTGCCTTCCACAGGACAGAGACGGCAAGACATCTTTGCTGCATGCTGCTCCTGCTGGCCCTGCAAATTCACCGTAGCTCCTGAGGGTTCAGTTCAATCTTCCTGTGCAATTTCACTCTGATCACACGTCAAGAGTAAACTTTTGCACTGCTCTATGTTTACACAGATTGCTGATGATTCTTCCTCATAAGCCGGATGAAAAATTGCAGTTGTCGCTGAAGTATGCTGTTGAAGAGCGAAGTCTGCATGCCAAAGTATTCCAGGGCCCCTTTGATCTTGTTTCAAGGTTCTTGAGAGAGGTCAATGGCAACTCACACACCGTCAAGGAGGTCAAGATCCTTTACCCGAAGGCAAGGGTTATCCGTTTTTATAATGAAGCATAAGCATCGTGGGTCTACGGCGATGCAATTCTGTCACATGTTTCGCTTAGCCAAACCTTGGCTACGGTCAAGACAAGAAAATTTCTGTTTCACTGACATCGCAGTCTATAGACGAACGGCATCCATTCCACTTAGGTGTTCATCCAGTTGAAAAAGACTGACCTCTGAACCTGATATCTACTCCCGTCTATATAAAAGACCGACCCGTTTTGCTACCAATTAAAATTTGATAATCCGTCATATTTATTATAAAAACCAGTCATTTGTTTTA